ACACACACACACACACACACACACACACACACACACACACACACACAGTGTTCACAGTTTCCTCTCGTCTGTCACCTAAGGTCCAGCAGTTTGATCTTTGAGTCCCTCAGAACCACATGTTTACACACCTGAGAAGGAGAGAGAGAGAGTCACATCCTGTTACATCTTTAAAGGAACAGTACAAAATTTAAATTAAGTGTGGGGCGTTCAGGGACTAAAATGAGTGTGGGACGTTTAGAGGAACAGTGGTCACAGACGGAGGGCTGTGATTGGTCAGGGTCTCTGGTCCAATCACAGACGAGGGTCCTCACACTGAACAGAGGAGGCTCCTTGGAGTGAGGATGGAAACCTTTCAGTCTGCAGACAGAAACCTCCGACATCCCGGGACCCGTTAACCTGAACACACCGGCACTGAGACAGAAGGCGGAGGGGTGAGGAAGTCCTTCTAATACACCTTAATCAGTTAAATGTGTGTGTGTGTGGACCTACTCGTTGTGTTTAGGAGCACACACGATGGCGACGGCCTCCGGCAGCATCAGCTGATAAGAACAGTGAGTGTGAAGGTCGACGCTGGAGAGAAAGGCCGTCTGAGTGGGATGAGTCTGTCGGGTCAAACGTCAAAGTCACTGAACTACACACAGTTAAAACAACACAAACAGCCGACACAGTGAGGACGCCGTGAGGACACGGACCTGACTGTCCTCTGACATCGTGGGGACATGGACCTGACGGTCCTGCGACGTCGTGGGGACACAGACCTGACTGTCCTCCGACATCGTGGGGACATGGACCTGACGGTCCTGCGACGTCGTGGGGATACGGACCTGACTGTCCTCACAAACCATCATCACAGCACAGAGCTGCAGAGTGAGACCTCTGTCTGTGTGTTCCTATCTCTGTCCCTCTCTCTCATCTGTTGCTCGACCACAGGCACTGTTGCCATGGTGATTTTTGATTATGCAAATTAAGCAGTTGACAACGAACGAACGGAGGTCATTTTTTTCCCGTGTGTGATTACTGGTTAATACCACGCTTTGGGGACCGACAGCTGACCGCCCACACACAGGAGGAGCAGCTGTTTATTCAGATATGTGATGTGTCTCTGATTTATACCACTGTGAGGACACAAACTGTGGAACCCTACAGGTTTAACTGTTTACAAGCCTCTGATTTAAATCACTGGTTCACAAAACAACATTCTGTGGTGGAATAATCAGCCTTATTTGAGTAAACTGACATTTAATACTTAAAATGATATTACAGCCATATAAATCTATGGAATGTCCCCAGAATGAAGGCAAGACGAGCTGTTGACAAACAAGCTCAACTCAAGGTCCCCTTATTTAAAAGTTGTGGAGCTTTCTATCATATCAGGTGGTCAGTTTGTTCACGTTGTTCTGAGCAGGTTCAGGACTTCACAAGTCCATCTGCTGAAGAAGACTGTGTGATATCGTTGAAAGCTCCAGAACACGTGGTCATTGAGTGGAGACTGTTTTGTCAGCTGCTGTTTCTGAAAGTCAGGGTTGACCTGTAGAGCTCAAGTTAGGGTGTTTCTGTGTGTATATAACATTGAACGTGTTTGACGTGTTTTTAACGTGTGTTTACTGTGTCTTTAGCGTGTCTTTAATGTGTGTTCAGCGTGTGTTCAGCATGTGTTCAACGTGGAGACGTACATGTATCCAGCCGAGGGTCAGCAGGCTCTGTTGGTCTTGGAAACTGAAGAGTTCCTCCACGTTCTCCATGTCGCAGAAATCCGGACCAGCCGACTGTTTGGGGATCACGACGTGAGTCAGCATGAACTCGTTGTGCGTCTGAGGGAGAGATGGTCAGGATGTTGGTAAGCAGCTCAGGTGAGATCGATCACCTGTAGAAAGTAAACCTCACCAGTCGTCCACAGAGGACTCCACAGGTTTCTATCCCTCTGGCTGTGTTGGAGTCGGCCAGCAGGAGGAACCGATACGTCAGATCTCTGGGAATCACCACCCGCCTCAAACCCTCCACCTTCTGAGCTGCAAACACGAAACAAACACACACAAACCTTCATATACGCACCAGGAGACAACCTCTGGTTCTTCATGTGTATAACCTGCATTCTCTCTAGTGTCCACCAGGAGGCGACTCCTGTGGTTGTATAGAAGTCTATGAGAAAATGACTCTACTTCTCTCTTGATTTATTACCTCAGTAAACATTGTAAACATGAGTTTATGGTCTCAATCTCTAGTTTCAAGTCTTCTTCAATACAGCATGATGTTCATTTAGTACATTATGGTCCATTTAGAGTCAAGCAGACCATAAAGCAGGGGATGATTTAGGGCGGGGCTACACAGTGATTGACAGGTCTCCACCAGAGACATATACGGCGTCTCTATGTCACTCCTCCTCAGTCCAGATATGGTCACTTCCTGTTCACTGGTTGTATGAACAGAAGTGTTCTGTGTGTGTACTCACTCTGTACTCCGGCCAGCGTGGCAGCTGGTTGGCTGACGGGCACTGGCAGTCTGTTCCTGTTAAGATCCGCCCCCTGGGATCGTACGCAGGCTCTGATTGGCTGCCGAGACAGACAGGAGCCATCCGTCACCTCA